GGCTGTAGAAGTGCACGGCCGGCAGCGCGAAGACCCGCTCGCGCATCGCCAGCCGCGGGTTCTCCTTGAAGTTGACCTTGAAGAAGCGCACCCGCTCGTACCGCGCTTCGGCGCCCATCCGGCGCACCTCTCGCGCAAAGACGGGAGCGACGCTGCGGCACGTGCGGCACCAGGGCGCGTAGAACTCGACGACCGCGAGGCCGGGCACTGCGCCGACCTCGGCCGCAAAGTTGGACTCGTCCAGCTCAACCAGCCGCAAAGCTGGCGCAGCGGCGGCACGGGAGGCGGCGGGCGGCGCGAGAAGCGGGATCGCCTGTAGCCGCAGCGCGACCACCGCAAGGACGAGGGCGTGCAGCGGCATATATATATTTTTATGTGCCTCCTCGCTCGCCCTCTGGTGTTTCGTTTCGTTTCGCTAAAAGTAATTGCGCGCTATTGCCTAGGGACCTACTCGAGTAGTCCATGAAGGTTGCAGCGAGAAGCGGCGAGAGACTGCGAAGAGAGATAGGAAGAGGCAGACTCCCTCTAGGGTGGGCGACGGCTAGCGCATCACACACCTCTCCTTAAAATCCCTGTGTGGTGGCGATTCTTTCTTTCTTTTTCGAGTAGTCCACCGTTCTGTTAGCCGCGGCCGCATGTCCCTCGACGCCCCTTAGGTCCATTGGATTGAAGCCTGGCTCCTCTCGAAAAGGTGAGTATAGAGGGTTGCATGGGGAATGCGGACTCGTTCGTCATGATGCGCGGCGACGGCGGCGTCGATGCCGGCGCCTCCGGAATCCTTTGAACGCATCTTCCACAGTGACTAATTAGTGTGGAAGGAACGTCTCATAACTGCCCCGTCGGCCGTCCGTCTCTGCCTGCCCACAGATCTTTATGCGCCAGCTCGCGATTTGCGCTGGCCTCCTTGGGGCGGCAGCCCACAACAACTATAACCACGTCCACCCGCCACCGCACCCTCCGAGCACTCCCCCCTTGGCTGACTCCGATAGCGACGGCATCGTAGACATCTTCGATGCAGACGGGGGCACAGATACAAACAGCGACGGGATACTAGACAAATACGAGGAAATAAGCAAGTCATCGCTCCAACAACTCATCAACTACCTGGAATCATCAACGACCCCTTCCCCGCCCCCGTCGCCGCCGCCCTACCCTCCGTCAGGGAACCCTGAGCCCCCACCGCCATCACCGCCGCCGTTCCCGCCTCCGTCGCCGGCTTCTCCCTACGTCGCGCCCGGTCCACCGCCCCCTCCACCTCAACCGAGTCCGCCGCCTCCTCCGTGCGACACCAGCTACTGCTACTACCCTTCCCCGG